TGTCTCTTTGAAGTGAGTGTGTGTCTCTTTGTGGTTGTTTGTGTCTCTTTGTGGTTGTTTTCCATCTATTTGTTGTCATTTTGAGTAGCTCTCATTGTGTGTCTCACTGGTGTCAGTTTGTGTCTCTGTGTGGTCGTGTTGTGTCATAGCTAGAAGACGATGTAGCTCCACTCAGGGCTCCACATGGTGGAGAGAGTCAGTGGAGACAGAAGAACGTATAAAAAGGTCTGAAAACAGAAAGCTCTTGAGGCTTCACTGGTCATGGAGGAAAGAAACAACCAGAAAGATAAACGTCAAAGAAGAAAACAGCAGCAGCTTCACTCTGAATCTGCGTTCAGCAGCAGACTGATGGAAGTGGCGTGCTGAGAGATAACAGGAGTTCTCCGCTGCAGCTCAACCGTTATCTGCTCAGAGTCGACAAACAGAAAGCTGCTCCTCCCTGACAGCCGTTGGCCGGTTCTGGTGGTTCTGGTGTCGGTGCTGCGGATTGGTCCAGGGCCTCGGATGTGTGTTCTGATGTGAGTTCACCACCACGTGTGTGTTACACAACGCCTCAGTCACAGACCAGCGGGGACCAGTGATGCACTGATGGTCTGGTGGTGGTTTGATGTCGTTGTGTGCTCAATTCACATCCAAGCTCGTTGTCTCTTTGTGGTCATTTGGTGTCTCCCTGGTGTTGTTTTAAGTCTCTCTGTGGCACTCTTCTGTCTCTTTGATGTCGTTTTGTGGTAATGTATTTGTCTTATTGTGCTAACTGTGCACGTCTCTGGTGGTGTGTGGGAGTTTGTGGATGTTTTAGGTTTGTCTGAGGCCATTTTGCATCATTCTGGGGTTGTTCTTGTCAATATGTTGTCATTTTGTGTCTCTTTTGTGTCTTTTGGGGGTACTTTTGAGTCAATTTGTGGTCATTTTGTGTCAGTTTGTGGCTGTTGGCAGCTGTGAACAACGTTAATGACAAACTCATCATAGCAGCAACGTACGATGAGTCAGTTATTAACTCATCATCATGCTTTGCTGCTATGATGAGTCAGTTTTAAACCATAAAATTGTTGGAGGACAAACATGAATGCAGGCGAAGCTGTACCTGTGCATCAGGACAGGTGAGGCTTCCCCACCGGTACCGGCACTGTTGTTAGAACCTGGTTCTGGAAGACGAACCTCTGGATGCGCTGGAACACCCAGAGGAAGACGAGCAGGACGCTGACGTACTGGATCCAGGCGAACTTGATGGTCTCCCAGAAGCCCGGCCGGTAAGTGAAGCCGGTCAAGGCAGAAATAATGAAGAAACTTTGCTTCTGAGTGACTAGAAGCGACTTTATGAAACTCCTGAGGACACATTCTGTCTCCTAGGAATGAAAGGTTGAACACATTCTCAATAAAACACGTTATTTTTCAGAGGCTTTAGGCTGCAGCGTTCAGGTCTGATGACGGATCAGGTCCATGTCTAGCAGCAGGTCGACTCTTCATCATCCATCGTCACAACAGTGAAACTAGAAGGTGACACAAACGAATGATGAACGTGACTTTCTGCTCTGACTCCTGATCACATAAACTCATTTATTTTGGCTCTAACGCAGGACAAACGTTTAAACGTTCTCCTTTATTTAAACATGTAAAACACTAATAAATGAAGTTTTGTGCTCCGGTTTGTGTTATTCTGAATTTTCACAACAAAATCTCCACTTCTGCTGCTAATACCTGTCACCGGCGTCGTCTCACACGTACTGCAAAGTGAAAATTACAACGTTTTCTCACTAACAGACGTATTCTCAGGTTTACTCTGCAGGCTCCAGGTTTCCACTTCTACAGTCCAAATAAATGGAGGAGAAAAGAACCAAAACGTGAAAATGTTCCTGAGAGCAGACGTCTAACAAAACATTTTTTCTACATAACTTCTTCTTCTCCATCTATTCAGCAGAATAAATAAGTGCATGAATACTCAGATCTCTGCGGTTTGTGGATCCAGTTTGTGTTTCTATTCATTGAACAGATGGGAGCTGCTCTGAGTATGTGTTCATCCAGCAGATCTGGTGTTTAGTCTAAATTGGTCATTAATAATTAATCAAACTGTGGGTGAATACCGTTTAGAATGTGTGAATGTGATTAATAATTAGGGTCTTATTAACAGAGCTTTATATTAACATGTTTATAAAAGGATTGTTCTGAGCGTGTCTCCTCCTGCAGCTCTGAAGGATATCTGATGACCTCCAGGGGATAACGGATCTCAGCGTTCAGCTCGAAGGGAGAACCAGCAGCTCGACCGACCGTCCAGACGGGCATCGGACAGGACAGAACCGTGGTCACTGCAGCAGGAACCATCAGATTAGAGATCATAATAGTATCCAGCACAAAAGAGCAGGAGAACTCAATAAGAGCCTCGGTGGACTCACAGTTTCTGTCCTGGTAGCTCCTGATGATGTTGTCGAGGTCGTAGGAGCTGGCAAAGGGACTGGAACCGTCGATCACCGACACCTGAGAGGAAACACAGACGAGAAGAAGTCAGCTCATCATGAAGGACAGCTGCACCCACCAGTCATCTGTAAGGCAGGGATCTCCAGCTCTGGTCCTCGTGAGCTACTGTCCTGCAGGTTTTAGATGTTTCCGTACTGCAGCACACCTGACTCAGACGAATGGATCTCCAACAGCTTGTTGTCAAGTTCTGTTAATGATCCATTGATGTGAGTAGCCACCTGTAACTTCCTGTAGCCACCTGTAGCCACCTGTAGCCACCTGTAGCCTCCTGTAGCCACCTGTAGCTACCTGTAGCCTCCTGAAGCTACCTGTAGCCTCCTGTAACCTCCTGTAGCTACCTGTAGCTTCCTGTAACCTCCTGTAGCCTCCTGTAACCTCCTGTAGCCTCCTGTAGCCACCTGTAGCCACCTGTAGCTACCTGTAGCC